GGTGGGGGGTGGCGCATCAGCGCGGACGCTCGCTGCGTCGCGGTGGGCTGAGGGCACGGGCGCTGGCGTGATACAGCAGCCCTTGAAAGAGCTGCCTGGCTGGGCTGGGTGGCCGTATCGCCCTGAGCGAAGATTGATATCAGAGCAAGTCCAATGCAAGCATTCGCGGGACCAGAGGTGCACCAGGGAAGGCAACATTTTATATCAAACACGCAAGCAGCAGCACTTGCTGGTCTCTGGACACATGCATGGGGGCTCACCGGCAAACGCAATGCCCCAGGAGTTGGCGTGGAACTGGGGCACCACCATGAGCATGGTGGTGCTGCTGCCCAGGGCCAGGGCGTCAGGCATGATGGTGATCATTGCATGGAGCAGATTGCTGGGGGGGGGGAGAGGGAGGGGGGTTGAGCAGGGTGCTGAAATGGGTGGGTTTCTAATGGAGCGATGCGAAGGTGGACGTTTCCAGGATGGGCGCGGGTCATGCCAAAGGCCAAGGTATCCCAGAACCCCGATGCTGCGGCGAGCAGGGCAGGGGGCCGAGCGGGGGGCGGGGTCGGCTGTCACCTGCGGTGGGTGTACATGACGCCCTTGGGGTTGCCGGTGGTGCCTGCGGGCCCGGCGCGGTCAGCGTGATGTCACCACCACGTCCGCAGGGCTGGATGGCAGGAGGGCCCGCAGGGCTGGATGGCAGGAGGGCCCGGCCAGACCTACATGCTGCTGTTGAGAAGAACCCCCACCCGGCTTCAACTATCTGTGCTGGACCCTTCAGCATCCAGGAGCACGCAGAGGCAGGAAGGCCGGCGCAAGGGGGGGAAGGCGTGAAGGGCGGATCGTGCACGCCCCCGCACCTGAGGTGTAGCACAGGCCGCAGGGGGTGTTCTCGTCCAGCTCTGGCCACTGGAAGGCGGCCAGGCGCTCCACCTGCGCATCAAGCAGCGCCTCGTAGCAGAGGCAGGGCCTGTCCACGGGCGCGGCCCGTGGCATGTGCTGCCTGAGGGGAGGCGGGAGGGGGTGCAGGCGTTGCGAGGAGCTTGGTGGACGCACATGCTCGGTCATGGGGTTCTTGGGGTTTAGGGTCTTGCTTGGCAATGCATCAGATTCCTCGTGCTTCTGAAGGTCGACAGCGGTAAAAGGCTGCAGGTTTGCTGCGACTCTGCGGCCCTACTGCATTCAAGAGCATGCAACCGCGGCCCACCTGTCTGTCAGCAGGATGACACCCCTAACGCTTGGGCACAGCGGCAGGATCTGCGGCAGTGCGTTGGGAATGGGGACGCGCCAGGTGCGTGGGGACCCAGTCGGCAGGCAGGCAAATTGTGGTGCCTATCATAGCTTATGCAGCATGCAGCTATGGCAGAGCAGCGGCTGGAGAGACCACAACGAAATTCTTGGATTGCAAACAACTGATCGACCCCACACACGATGGAGTCGCGCAAGATCCCTCCGGCCCGCGTTTGATTGAAGCCTGCACAGATTGTGTTGCCACTCATCCATTCCCGAGTGTGAAAGCAGCAGCCGCGGCCCCCAACCTGCTCCAGCAGCGGCAGGAACGTGGCGTCCGCCATGATCCAGGTGTCGCGCCCGTGGTTTGCAATCCATGCGATGTCCTTGGCGCTCAGCCGCGGGTTTAGGGTGTGGCAGACCGCCCCCAGCCCCATGATGCCGTACCAAGCCTCCATGTGACGTGTGGTGTTCCTGCGGTTGGGCGGCGGTTCATGAGAGAGCCGTGTCAATACGGGTTGAGGTACGGCAATTGTTGCAGGGGTTGGGGTGCAGGGTGATTGAAAACATTGTCTCGCAGACTGCCAAGCGACAGAATCGAGCAGCGCTGCCTTGCTGCTGGTCATCGCGCCCCAGACTCACCATGCCAGCGTGGCCACGACATCGCCGTGCCTGCCAGCAGCAAGGGTGAAAGGACGGCCGTATGGTGTAATGCTTATGACTTTGACCACTGTGCCAGGGGTGCCGTTGAGCACAGCCTGGCTGGCACAACTGCAGGGCTCGGCCGCAAATCCTGCTGCTCAACATCTGCAAAAGCCCCACGTCAGTCGTGTCTGCCAGCGCCTTCCTAGCCCCTGTATATGCGCGACGTGTATGGGGTCCTGAGCCTGTTTAGAGTTACGAGGGACCTCCCTGTTCCCCAAACCAACCCGTGTTGCGCCTGCAAACAAGGCCGCTCACTTGACCCCAAGCTCGGTCAGCGCCAGAGCGCACAGCTTGGAGCGGTCCCAAAGGTCACGGTAGGTGCATATCACCGTGGAGCCCTGGACATGGATTTTTGGGGGATTGGATGGGATCAGCTGGACGAAGTTGTGTAAAGTGGGGGCTGCTGGGTGGAGTGAAGGGGGGATGTTGCGCCATCTGCGCTGCACTCGTTTTGTCAAATCTTGCAGTCGGCGCCGCCGCCTGCTTTGACCAGTACTGGCTCCCCACACCACCTGTGGGGCGTCTCAACCCCCACCTCCATCACTGCTGCTTGCCCGCAGCAAGCCTGCAACGCCTGGCAGATGGGCATCCTTTCCAATCGGCCTGTACCATGAGCCGCACACGGTCCCTGCCTCGCTCTCCAAAACAAAAGCGCGAACACCATCAGCACAACGCAACCTTCCATCCCTACCCCTACCCCAACCCCACTACAAGCAGCAGCAGCAGCAGCAGCAGTAGCAGCAGCAGTAGCAGCAGCAGCAGCAGCAGCAGCAGCAGCGCACCTCCACAGTCTTACAAATAATCTCCTGCTCGCCATGCCAGCGCGCGGCATACTCAATGAGAGACGTTGTCACCAGCGGCCAGTGCTGCATTGTGCCGTTGGCCATGCCGCCTGGTTGCTGTGTCGTTTTGCTGCTGCTCTGCAACAGCGGCAGCGGCGCATTGAGGTTGGCAGTCAAGTGCGCCTGCGCTTGCTTTGTGCGTCGCGGCGGCCGCAACTTCCTGCATGTCGGGTGTGCTCATGTGTTGCGCGCCCGGCGACTTTGGAGCGGCAAGACACTGTGCTGCATCGCAGCACAGCTTCCGAGCAGAGGCTGGCAGCGCGGCTCACGTTGGAATGTTCAATATCCTTTCCGTTCCTGCTACAATGAGAGCCTACGGCTGGAGATTGAGCTTTGGGACGGGGCCGTGAGATTGCCTCGCGATCTTGCTTGTGGCTGTTTGAAGTGTTTCACGAGTTTCCTTGGATACGTCGTTGTTTTCAAAGCAGCTGCCAGCTTGGATATCACCGCGACGGCGGAGTGACTTGTGAGAACTCCCGGACGTTCGTTCCTGCCGTGTGCGGGCTTGTGGCCGACTGCATGCTAGGTATAAATTAAGATATAAAAGTTTGTTTTATGGGCTGCCTGTTTCCTGCAGTGTTCTAGAACTCGAAGTCAGCAGCAGGGCGCACGTCATTGCGACATCCAAGCCGGGGCCGGCCTGTGCGCACCATACTGCAAGCCTCCACACTGAAGTCTTCTGCGATATCGAACATGAAAAGGTGTAAGCATTCATATAAAAGTCAAATTGTTGACCAGTTGAGGCATGCGGTGCGGCTGGTTGCTGAGTGGAAAAGGGGTGGGTGTTGACCAGGTCAACGCTAGCCCACCGAGCTTCCCTACAAGCACCCAGCATGCAACTTGATTACGTACCGGGAACAAATTCGGAGGTCACAGGCCGTGGAATCGCATGCCAGCAGGGTGACGTCCTTGGCAGGGGGTGAGGTTGTCCAAGGTGGTCATCCCAGCAAGAAACAAAGTGAGATTCAACGACCACGCAATCCTCATTTGAGGTTTGTGTTACAAGCAAACGGGAAGGCACGAGCACAAATCTGGAGCCTGATCTTGCGTCTTCCACCACGCACAAACACCATCTGGCACACTGTAACACGTGGCGATGCGCTGGCTGGCCTGCGCTGCGCGGACGACCGCCCTGCTGCTCCTGGCCGCAGGCATGTGCCCGTTGGGGTTTGGGTTCTGAACCTGTATTTTTTGTACCGTATTTGTAACTCAGCAATTAGCTGCTCTCAAATTGACAAACGGGGCCTTGCAAAATCGCTGGCCGCAGGCCTTGCGCACGCCGCCTATACAGTTGACTTTGGCAGATTTGTCCCTGGCGGCGCCAACGACATTCCCTGCGGCGGTCAGAGCTCCTGCCGTGTGTGCGGGTCGGTCGGCGAGGTTGGCACTGCCTGCGACAGGATGACTAACTGCAACGGTGGGCATAACAGGACAGTGCTCTTGGGAGCCCTCGTGCGTGCACGTGCAACAGGGCCGCGGGGCTGCGCAGGTTGCATGAGGCATGCCAGTTTGCGGCCGGAATTGCGGACGAAAAAGGTTGAAAGGGCAGCTTTGAGACCTTGCACCACAGAGATGCCGGCGATGCGCACTGTCAAAGGCGTTCACAAAATCACGGCATAGCTGCTTGGCTCATCGCTGCATAGCAGCACAAGCAAGTTTGCAGACACACACACACACACCCACACCCACCCACACACACACACACACACACACACACACACACACACACTCTCCTGCTTCACTCCTCTCGCCACACTCTGACCTGGGTGGCACGCTGTCCCTTAGACCCACAGCTGCACATGTCTGGACTGAGTTGGCACCCCTGCCAATCGTCCCCCCCCCAGGTTTTAGTTACTACCCTGCTCAGAGCTGCGGCTACCTCAAGAGCCGCAACTCGCCGCTGAGCTCCTGCTCCGACCATAATAACAACAGCAACAGCCCATGCGAGGCATCGGACCATTACTGTAAGCAGGCAGCGGCTCCTTGATGATTGTCACATGGATCCTGAGTGCAGTGCGGTCATTGCGCAAGTGTCCTGGTGGGACAGTGGGCCAGGCCCCGGCGGTGGCGTTCTGAAGTTTGCCTGCTGCAGGCTGCGGGGGCTGAGGTCCCGCTGGAGGGAGAGTACAGCGAACACCATGGACAGCAGTCCTGGGGCAGTGCATCTGGAAGGCTGCGTGTGGAGGTGCTCATGCCGCGTCCAGGATCGCCGGCGGATGTAAGCAGTTGAGGTGCAGTGAGGGGAGGTGCGTGCCAGGCCCAGCTGGTTGTGAAAGACTGAAGTTGTATTATAGCAGCCGCCGAGGGTGACAAACCAGCCTGCCGTTCAAACAGCACGGATCCCGCCGATTGCTGGTGATGACTCAGAAACCGTGTCTAATGCCACCCGTGCAAACGAGGCGGTGTCTTGTAACTAGCCCTGACACTGCGACATCGAGTTCCATCAGGGCACTGGGGGATGTCTATACACTCAAAGTTGTTTCACGTAGAGTGAGACTCTGCACGTGCAGGGCGAATTGCCTCGTGATTCAACCTTGGACGACAGTTAAGTGACCGAGGTCACATCACACTCGTCACACCCTGGAAGGCCAACTTTGACGTTTCATACTTCGAATCCGTGAAATTCATACTCGAAATACCATCTGTGAACCGTTTGAACGCTGCACCACTGCACATCACACTCATCGCTTCCTAGTAGCTAGAAAGCTCCAACGTGATGTCGCTGGCGGCGCGTGTGGCATCGCTGTTTGTCGTCCTTCTGGTCCTGGTGGCAGGTGCTTGAGACGGCCAAGCAATCCTGCCTCGAAGCACCCACCAAACCTCGTGCCACTGCGCAGCAGTTTGCTTGTACCTCACTGCCGGCTGCAAAGCCGCACGAGGTTTACTTTCCCACCCCCACTATCCTCCGCCATCCATGAAACCCCGCGCGTCCGCAGGCGCCCTGCCCTCTGCGCTCGCTGATGAGTACGTGGTCGACCGCGGCGTGAGGGCACCCAAAGGGCAGGATGACGTGCCTTGCGGCGGCAGCCCCGCCTGCCGCGTGTGCGGGACCGTCGACGCTGTCCAGGGCGCCTGCACAGACAACCTGGCCTGCAACGGTGAGCAGGCCCCCGTGCGCGAGCGGCCGTCGCATCGACCTCCGGTGTCACACGGCCGCAAGAGCGCGTGGCAACAAATCCGGCCAGGTCGTCGCAGCCATCAGTCGACTGGCGCAGCCAGCTGATGCGGAACTCCTTGCTAGGTGGTCAGCTTCCGGCCTTGCTGCCACCCGCTTCGCCACTGATCCCAGCCTGGCCTCGCGCTTTCGATTATATTCCAATATAATGTATGTACCAAATCCCACGCGTCGCACAGGCTTCACATACTATCCAGAGCAGAGCTGCGGCTACCTGAAGAGCGTAAACGGCCCCCTTTACTCATGCGACGACGTCGGCCGCCCCTGCCAGCCCGCCGACCACTACAGCAGGGCCGCGCCGCGCCGCCGCCTGCGCGTCCGCCTGTCCTCCTTCCTGGGATGAGTCACGGCACTCATCGCCTTTGATGGCGGTGAGGCCGCACCTTGCTCGGCTTCCAGTAGCACCAGTCGCAAACGCCCCTCGCACATTGCGGCACATCAAGCTGCTTATACAAAGACAATAGGCCAAACTGTTGCCACTGCGTCCCAGGCACCTGTCCAGCTGCGTTGTCTTGCTGGCGTGCTTGAATAATTTAGGTGCCTGCTGCGTATTCTTGCCCGCATGACACAGTGCACCAACCTTGGATTCACGAACTGCATTGGACATTTAGTGATCACTTTCCAGGCGCAACTGCCTTGCAATTGTAAGACGACGCGGGCTTCCTATTTGGCTTGCTTTCGATATAATATGCTGAGAGCAGTATCAAGCCGCTCAGCGCAGCTGTCATTCATGGTGGGCACTGAGTGGCTTGCGCCCGTTGAGGTAATGAAACGTGCTTGGAAAACCTTGACCCGCTGCAGAAGGGATCAAATGCACTCAACAAAAGACCAACTGGTGGGAGCGATAGCGACTGCGCACTGGCAATGCTGGCTGCAGTGTGTGTGTGAGCCAGCAGTGACACAGCAAGGCGGCGCTGAGCACAACGAACGCCGCATGCGCAACGTGTAATGGGTGTAAATCGCCACAAGAGGCCAGCCTCAAAAGCACGCTCCTGCTGCAGTGTCCCACGGCTACAAGCCCTTTGCATGCCCCTCAGCGTCAAGCACACCTGCGTGCGGTCGGAGCCGGCAGGGGCGCGCCCTGCAATCAAGATCTTGATTGTCACACGTCCACGCGCCCGCACCTTCGCCTGCTGCTGTCACGTCCCCAGACGCCGCGCCTACTGCGAAGGATGCTGCAGCAGCGCCGTGTACCGCCGGATGGCCTCTGCCTCCTCCTCCAAATCGACGTCGTACGCCGCCGTCGGGTCGTCCCCGCCGCCACGGCCGCGCACAGAGTCCACCAGCGACCGCTCCAGCCGCTCCTCCTCGCTGTCGGCCTCGGCAGACGACTCCCCCGATGACGACCCGCTGACGTCACTGCCACCGCCGCCGTTGCCGCCGCCACGGCGGTGGCCAGCTCCGTTTGCGCCCGACGCACCGCGCCTGCTTGAGCAGCCGCCGCCGCGCCTCGCGCTGTCGCCGGCCCCGCCGCCGGCCCCCGCCATCTCTTCATCCCTGTCCCCTCGCCCTGCCAGCCGCTCGACCGCCCGCCGGAAGCTGCCGCCCGCCGCCTTGAGGGCCACCCTCGCATCCCTCTCCCCGAACCCCATCTCCACCAGGCGGCGCACGTGCTTGCGCTGCACGTCCTGGGGCCCCTGCTCCGCCTCCTGTATCTGGCGCGCGAGGATGGCCAGCTGCAGGGCGCCCGCCTTGACGCGGTCTGTGAGGGTGTCCAGGGCGGCCTAGGGGGGGCATTGGCAGGGTGTGCAGGGTGGCGTGAGTGTGAATGAGTTCGTTGTGTGTTGTATGTTGTGTGTTGTGCGTTGTGTGTGTGCGCGTGCCTGTGTGTGTGTGTGTGTGTGTGTGTGTGTGTGTGTATGTGTGCGAGAGGATGGTTTGGGTGTGTCTCGGGCCTTGAAATGGGGCATGTGAGGGCATGCACACAGACAAGCGTGCCTGCCGCCCCGCAGGACGCGAGCTGAGTGCCAAGCGAGGCGCATGCGGCTGGGAGTCGCTGACAACGCAGTGGTCTAAGGTGGCGGCCCCGGCCGAGTGCGGCAAACGACGACCCGACCAGATCAGAAAAGGCGGGCGGGGCTAGAAGATCTCGCTCGCCGGTCGGCCCGCCTCTCCGCCCGCACCCTGCCACCCCAGCCCGCAGCCTGACGGGCGGCCCCTGCATTCCCCCCCCCTCAGGGGCCTGCACCCCACCCCCGTGCCTCGCGTGCATGTCGTTGTCTGCCGCCCTCAGCGCCTCGGCCGCGAGCGCCCTCTCGTAGCCCAGCGTCACCAGCTGCTCAAGCGGCTCCCGGTCAACGTACGCGCCGCGCTGCGTCTTGCCGTACTGCGCCCGCTCCGAGTGCCACGCGCGCTGCCGCTTGCGATCCGCGGCGCGCTCCTGCGCGGAGCACAGAAGCGATTTTGCCGTGAGGGCGACAGCCCGAACCTGAGTGGTGCCTGCCGTCGCACGCAAGCTTTGCAGGGTGGCAAAAAGCGTCGCTGCGGATCTTGCAGCCGCGTGCCGCAGAGGCTGCTGAGACAGGCGCAGGCCCCGGCCGAGGCCCAGTTTGCGGGCCGGGCCACACCCTCTGCTTGGCGCGCTGCTCCCCGATGAACGAGACGGCGGCCGCGACGTCGCCGGAGCAGAAGCGCAGGGCGCGGGAGGACTCTTGAGTGTGGTAGCCCATTTCTTGCAGCATGGCCAGGGATTGGGGGGACACCTGGGGGGTTCGCGTTTGATGGGGATAGAGGAAGACAGGCGTTGGTGAATTCGTTGTGTGTGTGTGCATGCATGTGTGAGCATGTATGTGCAAATGTGTGGGAATGTCAGGAGGTGTGCATGCACGTGCTTTCATGGGTGCAACACCCAAGACACGGCGGCGCCGGCCGTGCGCCTGCGGGGCGTGAGCGACGCCGTGCCGTGCGCGCGGGGCGCGTCCCCTCCGCGGCGCCCCACCTGCAGCCGGTCGTAGCGCTCCTGCGCGGCCCTCAGGCTGCGCGCGGCCGCGGGGCGGTCTCCCACGTGGAACGCCACCACGCCCTCCATCGCCTCCAGCCGCACATACCTGCCAACCAAAGGGATCAATCAGGCATCCAAGCAGTTGTGGATTGGGGTCAGAACGCGTTGTCGAGCGCGGCAGCAGCAGAGGAGTTGCCTGGGGTGCAAGATTAGGGAAGCAGCGCTCGTCGCGCGGGCACAACCCGCTGCGCCTTTGCCAGGATGAAGATGCGCCTTGCCGGGAAAAATCCGAGCGCGAGAGGCCAAGGCGAACGCACGCGGCGCCTCACGTAGCAGACTCTGGCGAGCCGCCGTGCAGCTGCCGCAGGCGCTCCAGGTTGGGGCCGTGGGCGCGCGCGAGCATGCCGCGTGCGCGCGCGAGGCGCTCCGCGCTGACGCCCAGGCGGCCGACGTCTCGCAGCAGGTAGGAACACCTTTTGAGCGTGTGTGGGCATGTGCGGGCATGTGTGGGCATGTGTGGGCATGTGTGGGCGTGTGCAGGCATGTGCTGTGCAGGCATGTGTGGGCGTGTGTTAGCATGTGTGGGCGTGTGTGAGGATGTGTGGGCATCACAGAATGCCAGGGGTCCTAGTTTGTATACGTCAGCAAAAGAGGGCGCGTGCACTAAACCACATGTGGCAGGGTGGGGGCCTGCGCCATGTCATCTCATTCTGGTGCGGTTAGCTGGCTGCGCCACGCCCTTGGGCCATCGCCCCAAAGATATGCACCTGCAAACTCCAAGCGCCTCCCCGGAGTCTATAAAACAAATCAACATCCTTGCGCATCCCACCGCCTTGCTCACCACACAATGTCCAGCAGCAGCATGGCCACGTTGTCAATGGCCTGGAGCAGCTGCTTGTCAGCTACCTGCAAGAACAGGCAAGCACGGCGAGCAGCACGCACGCCGTCGGAAAACACCCGCAAAAACCTGCTGATGCCCAAAGGGTAGGTATTGAGTATCATTTTCATTTGGCCGAGGTGCAGACAGACAGATTGTCGGGCTGCGATGCATGTGTGCATCCGCCCTCCCACGATCCTTCCTTGCGCCCCCCGGCGGTTACACCGCGCGCTCAAGGACGCCACATGCAGGAACCCAAGCTTCGCGCGGCCGCGTTCCTGCGGCCCTCTTGTGCCGCCACAAATTGTTTCGGCACCCCACCAAAACACACAATACATACAAAATACAAACACAAAAAGGGGCGCCCTACCAGGTCAAACGCCTCCTCAGCCAGCAGCAGCTCCTCCAGCGCCTGCCGCAGCGCCGCCTCGGCCCCCGGCCCCGCGTTCCCGGCCCCTTCCTCCTCAGCCCCAGCTGCGGCCGGCGCGGCGGACGCCCCCGCCTCCTCGGGCGCCGCCGCGGGCGCCGCTGCGGCGGCGACGGCGGCGCGGCGCGCGGCGCGCGCGGCGGCGGCGAGGGAGGCCTGGCCTTTGGCGTGCAGGGCTAGCCCCGCCACGAGCGCCTTGCGGTCGGCAGGGGCCAGGTCCAGGC